CATGTCACGCATTTAATTTTATAATTATTTACTTATAAATTTGCAAATTAATTACGGTATTATTAAAAGATAAGAACTTATATAAACATATTAAATATGAGAAGCAAGAAATAAAACAAAGAATAACTGGCAACATAATAAATTAAGATTTTTGAATTGTGCAATAAGACTAAATATCCTTCTCTTAATTCTTATTAGAAAATTTACGTGAAATTTACTTTATTTAATTTACGTGATTTAAATACAAAGATTGTTTGTTTATTGGTAATTTATTTATTTTTGATCTATTTCTCTTGTAAAAAACAAATTTTCTACGGTACGGTGTTACTGTATCGTAGAAAATTTTATTTTATATAATATAAAATACACACCTATGCGCGCGATTAAAGAAGCATAATTTTTTTAAATTTTATCAAAATACTTTTATTTTTAGTAAAATATTTAGATCGCTTGTCTTTGCTTTTAAATCTGCAGTTTTAATTAATTCGTGCGTATTGTCTGTTAAGTTATCCAATCTCTTTTTAACAATTTTCTCGAAAATTGATACTGAACTTATAAAATGTTGTCTCAATTACATTTTGAAAACTTAATCAAACAGTTACACAATTTAAAATTTAAAAAATAATGAGAATTATATTAATTTATAGAAAGTAATGAAAATATTAAATTTCATAGAATTCAAACGTTTCTCTAACGTTTCCTCTAAGGTACAACTTGTAAATATTTAGAATTTCGCATGTTATGAATGTCTCTTCCGGTCTCTTCATTGTATTTAAAGTATAAATTTGAGATAAAGTTAAATATAAGAGAATATACAGAAATTAATAAATCAAATCTCTTACAAAATTACAGATTTTTAATTTCTTATAGGAATCTGTATTAATATATAAAAATATTTTTATTATAATTATTATTTATTATAATCTCGGTTGGGTTATAAAACAATTTATACTAATTAAAAATAATTAAATGCAAGTGATAAAACTTTATATAAGTTAATTGTATTATTTGATAAACTGTATTATTTGATCGCAGTCTATACATATCATTACTATAATATGTATAGTCTTTGTGTGCGATCTCAAGTAATTTAACTGACAAACCGGTGTCTCAAATCAGCATAAGTTTCTTGTTTAATTTTTAAATGATTAAATCAAAGCGAACGTGTTCTCTTTTTGTGAATAACATATTTAAATTAAAATAAGTTATAGTTTCACAATTTATTGTACGTTTGAGAAGTTATTATAACATAACAATACAATTAACGAGATAAAATATAAAATTGCCTTTAAGATCACTTAAAATCTCGCAGATGTATGTGTATTTTGGTGTAAAATATATTTCAAATAATTAAATTTATTGATTTAGACATTATTCGATTTATACTTAATTTATAATAGAATGAGATATACGGCGGCAAAGTTATGAATGTATTATAAGCAGTGATTAGCAACAATTTATTTAATTCAAATAGTTGTTGATAATTTTTATTATTTACTGATTAATTTAATTAATTTACTAATTTAACTTTCTTTTTGAGTGAGTTTCTTATAAAGTTATAAATACTTTTGTCTATATCGAAGAGTTCTGTTTTTAGCAGCATTTGAAAGATTATTATTATTTCCTTTATATAAAGGAATTATAACGGCTTCTTCGAACCGTTATCAAGTCTCTGTAATTACAGAAGAACCTATTTACAGCCTGAACCAACTGTTATTGAGTGAATATTTCTTTGTATGATAATTTTCTTTTACAAAAAACTCATTTAGAATTATATTTTCTAAAAATAATAATACGAGTATAATATAAAATTTTCTTTAAAACATATTTCTGCAATTTATAATTTAATTACTGGAAAGAATATATAAAATGCGGATTAAAATATTCGGTACTCTTGCAATTATTATCTCAAAAATCATTAATCTCACAAATAATTTCTTCGTTCTTACGATTATAATTTAAATTGTCGTTGAAATATTCATGTATTAACGATTCTATGGCTCTGTTTGGCTCGGCACAATCTACCGACGTTTCTTTCGTTTGGCAAGCTATGAACAGCTTGTTATGATTAACTAAGGTGACTTATGGCAACGGTTTTAGGTCTGTGCGAATAATACTTCTGTACTGGAAACCAAAATCGGGGCACCAAGCTCGGAATGCCAAATTGAAATTTTTCCCAACTGAAAAAAGTGAAACTAGTCATTGTATTACTTCAAAAAATATTATTAAGCCTATAGTTACACGAAGCTTTATCGCATAATCTAACAACTGTTTATAATCCAAATTGTTATGAAGATTCTTTTAGTTTTCTATAAATTTTATTATTTACAATATTAACGACATAGTTTCGGAAGAATGTACTGCATTCATTATTAAAATCTTAAACAAAATCGTTCAAAATAATGCTATTTTAAATATACGAACTCAACTTTATTACTTATATAAAGATATACATAAAAATGAAGAAAGCTCTTAGTGTGATATAAAATATATCTCAAAGTAATGATACCTTTATTACTTTATAAATGTCAAGATTATTTTTTTCTAACATCATACTTGAAATTCTTGCTAATTAAAGAATATTAGCATCATTTGATATGAGAAAAGAGCGGGGGATATCAATGTGCACTAGGCACTACCAATGCTAAGATCGGCCCTGCTTCGCACTAAAGCTATAAAAGCCATCAGTTCTGTACCGAAATAGATATTTGTATTTCGGACGTCGATGTACGTGTGTCTCTCTGTGGATCGAAGTCACTTTCAACGAATTCCTCAAGCCGAAAAGGATATCGATATTCATCTTACCAGATATTTGTTTCTAAACTTTCTAATAAAATTCTACTGTGAGAAAGAGTGCGGAAATTGGATCGATCGTATTTTTCACAATTGAAAGTGAGTAGAAGGCGCTATTAAATTTTATTCCGTTTCAAAGATATTTTTATAACAATTTGAGATTTTCAACAAATAAAATAAACCTTTCGTCACGATTTTTCGGATTTTCGAGATCAAGATAAGCAATTCTTAAATTAATGCGATACTGAAATCGCACGCGTTCAATATTCCGCAAACATTTATTACATCATCTAGGATCTCTGCACAATAGTTCCGACCATCTCCAGCCTCGTTTATCCTAGACATACAGCGGCTATCGAATCCCATTCTGACTCTCTCGGATACATACTGTGCGGGAGCGCGGTCAGACTCCAGAAATTCCTCCTTAGCCATACATCCCTCCCAATAAGCCGGCATCGGAACGCGGGGCTCCGCATCCCCTTCAGAATATTGATTAGCCATCATTTTCAGATGACGCCTACGCTCTGTTGGGTGTTCCTGTTGGCGTTGGTGGGCCGCGCCACGAGCGTGCCAAGGCCTCTCGTGGTTGACGCTTGCGCCCTGCTCTGCAATCCCGGGGCAGAGACTGAATCCGAGCGAGAGCGGGATCCGGTGGTATTTCCCCGATATCCCAAGGTAAACTGCAAGCTCCAGTCCGACTCCGACGAGCACCAGGCGTGGATTATTGCCAGTCACTGCTTGAAACTGTGCAATCCAGACGTGTCAATTGACTCGGAAGTCAACTGCTTTGCTCTGAGAGGGTCTCTTCAAGCGAATTTAGGATGTTTTTGTGAAGCTTTATCACCTTTGAGTCCGAACACTATGCGGCTTCACGAAAGTTGGAGGCTCAACTTTTTGGTAAAGGAGCTGGCGAGCGATATCTTGAGTGTAATTCTCTCTTCACCTCTCGATACCCTCGTCCTATGCGATATTCGTAACGAGCTGTTCAAAGATGTTGATGTGAAGTCAGGATCGCTGTACAATAAGTGTAAGAAAGATGGAGCGAACGCTACCACCGCGGAGTCAGAACGAGAGAAACGAGAAGTTAAAAAGATTATTGAGCCAGATGATCAAGCTGACATAACTGAGGAGGACACCTCTTCGAATAAGCCACCGTCGTGGCGAGAACTGACACAAGGACTGGCTAGGTGGAATTCTACTCTCCCGGATACAGAAGAAGAAGAAAAACCATTGGAAATAAAGAACTTAGAAGACTTAGAAGACTTAGAAGATGATTTCTCGAAAAAGGCCGAGGAAGAGAAATTACGCCCTCCAGAGAAAGAAGAAGAGCTCCCTACTGTGGATGAAGTACTTCTTGACCCGGGGGTCTCCCAAGCCTTGGACAGTCTTTGCAAAAGCATATGCAAATTAAACAAAAAAGACATAAGATGTGCTTGGAATCCAATGTGTAATGACCCAAAGTTACATGAAACAGATGCGTGAATAAAATAATAACAGGTAGGAGAGAATTCGCGTGGAAGGGCATGAATTTATATATCTCATAGATTAATCGATAATACATGATCGATCCGTTGTGCTAAAAGCATTTCTCACCGTAATCAAAGAGATCGTAAAAGAAAAATAATCTGAAGCATGTATGATTCTCTTTTCTACCTTTGTTGTTCAAATTGATTTTTGTCTCGGCAATTTAATGTAAAATAATAATTTTAATACGTAAGAAGAATTAACAAATTATTATTTGGTAACTATGTAACAAATTGTTATCTATTGTAATACTTTATGATACGCGATAATTCTAATTACATAATATTATTGTTAGATTGTAATAATTCGAGCGCTATATAAAAATATCAGTTTGTTATTCCACACATTGTGCCATTTATAAACAGATTTGTATTTTCCTATTTTTAATATATACATGTACATTTTATATATCCGATTTGTATTCTTCTTTCTTTTATGTGTATTTATATTTTTATATGTATTTATGTATATTTATCTATTTTTATTCTCATTCCCGTATAATCAGTTATAGTAGATAAAATCGGAATAAAACGTTTAAAGGAACATATAAAAACAAAATAAATTATTACAGGAAACATTCTGGGAAAATCAATGGCAAAACTTGATGTATATTAATATAATTACAGTAATATAATTACAAAATATTAAGTTAATGATTATAATATAATGATAAGCTTTTCCACTTAATGTTTAACATTGTAATCGCTTTAGGCTTAAGAGAGTTCTACACAGGTCCAGTTCACACGGTTGCGTTATATGTTCTTTTTCGGTTGAGATATAGCACAACGACGGAATTTTACACAATTCTTCAATAGTATTTCAGATAATATGTACTTTTCCGAAAAAAGAAAAAAATCTGGTTATGCGATAAAATATGATCATAATGAATATATGTATAATTAAACGTTTTATTCGATTTATTTACTTTTATAACATGTTAAGAAACATTAATTAAAAATGAAAATAATACATTAAAAAAAAATATTATTACTCTTTCACAATATTACATCCTATGATCGAGAGATTGACCTTTTATTGCGTTTAATATATATAACTTAAACAAAAATATATTTTGGTATATATTTTATGTCTTGCACATACTTTTGTTTTAAAAGTATCCTAACTGGTAATCTTTCACTAATCGATAATCATTAATAAAAAATAGATAATTGTTCACCAATAGATAATCTTTGATAAAAATAAATAATCTTTGCTAAATAGTAAGAAATATATAAATATTCGGTAAAACTTTATTATAAAATTGATATTTTTCATTAAGGTAAATTAATTATATTATGTATCTTGAGACATAATAAATATTCGAAAATCAAAAAACTTGCGACGTGTGAACAGGACATCGATGTGTGATATGTGTATTATGCAATAAATTCTATTTATATGCGCGCACGATATGCACGTGCATTCTCGCGCTAATTATAGTTTACCTAAAGCGAACTAATAATTTTTATACGACATAGTATGTTAAATAAGTAAATAAGCTATAACGAAACAAAATCCATGTCTTCCACTTTGTAGTCGAATTATTATTCTTCGGCGATATAGCGACCGCTTTATATGATATTACAATAAGTGATAAATGTATAATGATAAAACGCAAATAGTTTACTCGTTTAGTGTGATAAGTCTTATCCGGCATCAATACGTCATCGATCGCTTCCGATCGAAAAACTTAGTAATCTTGTGAAATAACCGTTGTATCGATCGTACAGCGAGCAATCGGTGGCGTGTTTGTTCACCATGCCGAATTAAGAAGAAAAAGTTGTGACGCGACAATAAGACGTAGACTCTAGTATGCCTATACGATGTATTTTCAATCGTATCACGCTCTCGGTTATCAATCGATAAACACACGTTCTTCGATACTCTGTAAATTTTTTAATATGTCATATCTGCATTTATAAGAGAGCAAGAGTAATGATGAAACAGAGAGTTACTTGTTGAGTGCCTAGAGAAAGAATTGTAATTTAATTATGTACATATAATATGTGTAAATGTAGTTGAAAATCGATTGATCGTCGAGAGCGTGATTAATTGGCTCTAATAATTTATTACCTTACATTAATGTATATGTAATTATTTATATAATTACTTGGTTGTATGTACATTAATTATATTAATATAAATATTTATATTATTCTATTACATGTGCATGATAATAACATAAGAGATATAACATTAATCGAATTTTATGTGTATTTATCTATTTATTAATTATATATAGTCTACACCAATCGCTCATTGTAACTCTATATATAACATGTAATATAACAATATACAAGCAAAACGCTATTATCTTAAAAGATTTGTGCAAACTAAATAAAGTAATTACTTAAAGAGCTTTATCATGTATCCAAATATGCTCCTTTTAAATTCTAATCTTTTTCAATTATATTTATACTACTTATGCCGAGATTGTAAATTATGTATAAAAATATATTGCAAAAGTTTGATGTATATTATATGCTCAGTCACATTATAATAAATTAATAATAAAAACAATATTTATATAACAACAAAAATTCTAAAAATTTTGTTATTATTTTAGTATTATTATTTTTTAAATAAAAATTTAAGTGATTTGTAAATAATGATAACGTAACAATTTGTAATGTTATTAACATTTGAACATTTGAGAAATAATCTTTTTCAAAAAGTTTCGAAAATGTTTTGAAAGCATTGATTGATGTGTCATAGGCTGAAAGTATAGCGAAGTCTTTTATCGACTACAGTGATGGAAGTACTCATGGAAAGTAATAGTACCTTGTCGATAACGAAGGGGAATAAGTCTTTGTCAGTGACGAAGGGTAAGTCGGATTTCAGGAATTTTGGATTAGACCCTGAGAAAAGGTTTATCAACAATAGATAGATTTCTCTATTGTTGATATATCTATTTTAATTTCCCTCCATAGTAATATTTAAAAAAAAATAAAAAATTTATAGAAAAAACAAGAATTTATCTAACTACTTACTCTACTTATCAATAATTTTTTTAAAATGTTTATATCAAAATTATATACATAATAGATAATTTTCAAATAATTGTTTAAACAGTACACAATAAAAAATACTTTGTAATTCCTTTAGCTTAACATATTTTCTAAATTTTTAATGCCTTACAATAAAATAATAAAATTTGGATCTGTTAGTAATGTACTTTATAGTCAAGCGTTTTGATAAAAAATTAAATAAAAAACAAAGCTTTCTCTATGAGGAAGCAAAATTAAATAGATATTAATTTTAAACTGCGATTAAGATTAATACTAGATTAATAATAGATTATATCTATTAAACTGTGATTTTATTACGATTTTCGATACACGGTCTATATCTCTACATGATGCGATCGAAACAATCCTTATTTCCCTGAAGTAAATGTCAATCAGGATGGTCTTCAATTACATTACACACTTTCTGATAGCTTATTATCTTCTTCACACACTACATCCCTATAGCATAGGCTACTCTTATATAAAAGCCGATTCAACCACCGAAGAAGCATCAGTCGAGTACCATCTATCTCTCGGACACACCCCGTTTATTCAGGTAAAAACATCACATACTTTTAATTGCAATAATTTAAAAAAATATGTACATGTATATATAATATGTGTTCCTTATGCCCACATTATGTACTTTTTTTCTGTATATAAAATTTCGTAAACTTTTGCATGAATCATCTAGCCTTTCACATACCAAAATATTTCTAATTCCAATAACATCTCAATTTTATACAGCGGCTTTATGTGATATATTCTTAAACACAAAGCTGGTCATCGCCAGTTATTACGAATTTTGATATCTCGTGACAGATCAATACCCTTGGACGAACCCGTGACGTTACTTGCAAATAATGTAGGTCGACTGCGTTTGATAGAGACATTTGTCTTCGAATCGTTTCCCCGAGTATAAAAGCTCGCAGCTTTTGCGCCGCTTGTAACATTCGGTGACCAACAATCTTCTAAGAATCAAGCACGTTCTTTTCGTTCGCACAAAAGAGAGTAAGCTTTATTCGTTTTATATTAAAATTTATTTACTACAAACTTTTTTAAAATTTATTATCGTTTATCTACAATTATTACAAGATTGATAATAATTTATTTTATGACAGTAAAGAAAATGAGACAATAATTATAAAAGTTTATATCGCGCGTTATAATCAAATAATCAACAAATTCTGTACTTTCTGTTTTAGACGACAATATATCAACGCGCCGATATGGTTTCCATTCGCCTTATCTTGGCTCTCGCTGTTATCATGGTAGCTTTCGTCATCAGCGCAAATGCCGCCTACAAAAAACCACCCTTCAACGGTAGTATATTCGGCAAACGATCTAACACTGTGACTGGTAAATATACAAGTTTTACGTTATCTTTGTAGAATACTTATCAAAAAAGATTTAATTTTATAAAGAGTAAAAATTAATTTTAAAGCTTATGTATATTTATACAAATAGATAAAATTAACTGCATCTGTTAGATATGGATTATCTTATATCAGAATATTAATTAACTAAATATTTTATTATATAATATATTATTTTGTAAAAATATTATCTGAAACACATCGTATCTGTAGTTCTCGTTCCTCAAACTTTTATTTGATATACTGTATAATTTTTGACGTTAAAATTTATTTGAAAAATTTTGCTATTTTTAGAATATCTTTTGTTTAGAAATGACTGCAATTTATAAAACTTCTTTGCGCCATAATCAATTTTTGTCAGATTCATTTTTCATTATTTCTCAAAGTAATCAATAAATTGTATTTCTTTTCAGACTACGAAGTTACCAGCCGCGCTCTGTCGGCTATTTGCGAGGTCGCCAGCGAAACCTGCACCGCTTGGCTGAATCATCAAGAATCCAACTGAAGATGAAAAACCGACCGAGATAAACTACGATTCTCGCCGACTGATCGATCCATGAAACAATGTAATTAACTAAACTCCTGTAAAGTAAACTCGCAATCATGCGCTTGAAAATTCGTCACACATTGTTTTCTATCAATAATCATTATATTATGTGTCATATCTAATCGTAATTTATATCTAAACAATATTGTAATTAAAATGATTTAAGCTTTTGCAAGCTAGCCTTATTTATCAGAAATATCTCAAATAAAGTATTATGATTTCAGGAGCTAATTAATATTATTTTAATTATTCTCTCCTTCTACCTCTCACACACGTTTATTACATAAGAGTGTTGACTAATATTATCCGTTTTAATTTTTACTTTAATTATTACATAGTAATGCCAGTAGACAATTTTTTAAACAATTATTATGTAATAAAGAAATTTCCGACTAGAATGTTTAAAATAGTAAAGCGTGTATTTGACAGAACGTTCAATTTAAATAATTTAAATAATTTGAATAATTATGAAAGTTCATTGAAACTCAGTACATGTAGATTAGAAGCAATTTGATATGGAAAGCACGTGCTATTCACCTGCCGGGATAAGGGTTACAGTCTATTGTCTACGGCCGAAAAAACGGTGCAATACGGAGCAACCGCAAAAGTATTGTCATATATTTAATTTTATCATTTTATATACATGTAAGATACTTTATATTTAAACATAAATATTTTACTTGCAAACATTCCACTGTATAGTAATAAAATCGTGTTAATAAAATAATTTTGCTCTTACAATATTAGATTTTATTTTGTAGTGATAAAATTAATAAATAATCATATTCTCTGCGTCGGTAAATCGCTATACATTGTATATTAAAAACGCAGTGTAGAAATTGTATCAAGAATTTATGTCAGATTAAGTAAAGTACTTCATTGAGGACGATAAATCTTCCGCCGACAAAGGTCAACCGAGAAATTTATTCTCGATACAGTTGAAGACAAAGATTGGTGTTAGTTAACATGGTGTACATGAACTAAATATTTAATTGCTCTTTAATCGAGTATAAATACGCTAAGCCTGATAGAATTAAGCTCATTGCATTCAGTTTACCTTCAGGTAAGGATATTACTAGTTATTATTTGATCAGAGTCTATCTTTTATTGAATTCTGGCTTTTAAAAAAGATCCGCAGTTTTCAACATTAAATCTCCGTGACATTAAATCAGAATAACCAATATCTTTCTTATGGTTTTGAGATAGAAGAGCAAATGCCATATCTTTGAATATAATATGTGCTCTTTATGGAATTTTGAAGCAAATAGTTCGGCAGCTGCGGTTAAAATAAACATTCTTATTTGTAATTCGTAACTAAAACAACTATTATTACATATTAATTAAAACCATTATTTTTAAGAAATTATATTCAAGATCGGGATTGTTTCATAGTTTAATTTTCAGTTGCTTCAAAAAAATTTAATTTATATCCGCGTATAGAACTCTCAATTCCGCACCGAAGGCGTTATCGATCACGCACTTGTGATTTCGGAGATTCTTTATTTACTTTTACCCATGCAATAGCGTAACGGTACGTCAAACATTTCCCGTAACGTCCTACGACACATCAATTCTACGAAATGCATTTTACTCGCGCGGGTGCGCGGCTGAATATTCCTGCGCGCGTTACGCGAACGAGGACAAACAGTCGGCGTGATTCAAATGCGATGGGGTTTCACGACGTGCAAACTTTTCCGTCGATTCTCCTTCGCCCACAATCCTCGAGCACTCCGGTCCACTCTTCGCGATAATGGAAGAAGCCGTATGTACGCGAAAATTCGCTCAGTGCTCGCCGAACACCCGCGAGACTCGCATCCTTCCCGCGGGAATCGGCAAGTTTCTATGGCAGTCACTTGCGCGTCGGCCGCGATCGAGAATGCCACGTCGATTGGCGCATATTCACTCACGGAAATAATTGTTGCGATTGATTCTGACGACGTATAGCCGGTGTGATGTGCTGCTCAAAGAGTGAAGTTGCTCTCGAAGACTGAATTGCGCTTAACTCATTACAGGTACTTAACTGCGACACTCTCGAAATGATGCCGCAGAGGGCTTGTACTCAACGTATCGGAGGTGTTTTCTTTAATGGTAAGCTAATTACCATCATTACGTATGTATGTTTGTTTATTTAATGTATCATAGAAGTAATGCCTTGTCTATTTAAATGTTTAACATTATTTTTTATGCAACGCTTGCTCAGCTTTTCTTGTTGGAGCTGCCACATTGTTGATCTGTCAAAATATCACAATGGCGGAGGAAGTACCAGCATTTTTCTTAAAAATCGCAAAGATACCAACTCTGCCTAGAGTCGGCAGAAGCGGACGATTCGAAGATTTCTTTTACAAAGCTGAGAAGCATATACCTCGAATTGGTAGAAGCAATCAACAGGTATCTAATTATTTGAATTAACATAATTATTACAAGCCTTCTCTTGTATTATTGTAGATATATATTTTGGAGATTTTGTTTATAATTAATTCTGTAATGATTATTTTAAATAATTTCTGAATTGCATTTTTCAAGTCAATTAATCCTCTATCGCTACAAGATGAACAGGAAACTTACTCCGGTTTAACTAAAAGGCGTATAGATTATTCTCCGAAAGGTTCGAAATTCGTTAATATATTTTTTCATATATGTGTAATCAAATGATCCTATGATTAACCTAGTCTTGTTTTTATTGTCAGTTGAGGAATTTACCTGGCAGAACTTTCCTCTAGCGATTGAAGGTCCAAAAGAATTGTGGCGGACATTAGCTGGATATTCGAGGGATGGCGATGAGTAAGTTTTACGAAGCCGTATTGTAAAAAAAGTTTAATTTTTTTAATTAATATAACTTAAAAAACACTTAAAAAAATATTACAATTTATTAAAATGTATAAAATATTTCTTCATATGTATATATTAAAACATATTTATACACTTATTTATATGAGATTGAGATAATTATTAAAAACATAGTCTTACAAATTATTGTTTTATATAATTATTTTAACATGTTTTTAATAACATCTGTTATCATGTAGACAATTAATAATTACTTAATTAATTTAAGTATCGAGAATGAAGTGTGGCAGAGAAAGAAAAGAACCGAAGATGAACCAGCAACCAAGCAAGCAAAATAAAAACTCAGAAGTTCTCTTTACCTCTTTGGAAACGCTAAATGTTATACGGCTTTTGCTGTTATATATGGTGACGGGAAGTAATTAAAAATAATAAATACACAAATATAAAGTGCTTTCGCTTTCATCTTTCTTCAATTTTTTCGCGTCAAATTTGGAGATCCCAATAAATAATTAATCAAAATTTTTTTTAAATTAAGTTATTATATATTTCCTAACAGTGTACAATGTACAATGTATTAGCAAAATTTGACAATTCGTAGGAACTATAGTAATTGTTAGAATGCAGATTCTTAATAATGTACATAATCAAACAATTTTACTGACTGTTCATCAATGTTCAAATATTTATCCGAAGACAATAAAATCTGAAAAATTTTATTTCTTTTCCTCTTATTCCTACTATTCCTGAATTAAAAAGTCTCATATGAGACTTTTTAATCATTTTTTACTATGATTAATTATATGTAAATTATGTTTTATGTATTATTTTATGCACTATTTATTTATGCATATTATTAACATATTGCGTGCGAAAAAACATTTTCGTACATAATTAATATTTTTAATTTTATAAATTGCTTAAACAATAAAATTTTTACACCGCATTAAGATTGAGATTTTTATAAAATTGCAACTATTGCTTCTACATGCACTATTTATTTATTATAATTAATTATAAATGAAGGATTATTAATTAAAAAATTAATTAAAATAAGTTAATTCTAAAAAGAAATAAAGGGAAAGATGCTTCCATAATGCACGCTAATACAATGATATATACTTACCTTAAAATTAAAGACTAACAATAGAAACAGGTTGCAAAAATTGCAGAGAAAATAACTTTTTGCGCCGTTCCCTTCTTCTGTATATTTCGCTTAATCCAATACACTGTGTTTAAACGGGCATCTGTAATTTTGACGACTTATGGAAAATTGCCGGTATAATCAAACCGATACTTATAAGAAACCATTGCTTTTTCGATTCTCGTGTGACTCGTGCGACAGTTGTTCGCTAAAATTACATACGCCAATCCCTCACCTTTGCGTCAGTCGTTAGGCGACAAATAACAATACCAGATAACATTAGCGAAAATGCGTATGTAGCAACTGAAGATCGATGTAGTAACGTTTGGTAAAGGAAAGCACGGAGATTGACAGCTGTACATGTGCAAGACGTAAATGCCCAATTCCGTATTTCCCGATAAACAGCTTCGAGACACAGCACGTAACGCCGCGAGGCATTATTTAATGTATATGAGATGCTGACGAGCGATACGCAACGACAGATACAGATAATAGGAAAGTGGTAGGCGATCTATAGACAAAATATAGTTAGTACGTAATGAACACGTGGTCGCCTCCGGTCATCACGATCGTTTCTTATTAAAGACAGGGCCTTGTATGAAGTAAAAGCACTTATCATAATAAGAGAACAAAATCTTATGGACATGTGATCATTTCTTGTACATAAGATATTCGAGCGTGGATGGACTGGATTACGATAAGGATTGTCTTGTGTATCAGCTCGCGCTAGATAAACGTTCCGCCGTCGATAAAACTCCTTGCGATTCTTTTATCATGGGAAAAGTAATAGCTTCAGCCTCAGACCAGAAAAACTTTTTTAAAAACGTTTATCACTTTTAGCGCATTCTATTTATTTAAAAAAAAGTTATTTTGCTTTAGAAGAAGTTGTTTAAATTTATTGCAAATTTATAAAATTTAATGTCTATATCTTTTTAACTTTTACATTTAAATCTTGGCAATTAGTCTTTCACATTTCGAAATTTTTTTGTTTTATTTAAAATAAACTAGATGATAATATCACATAAGACGTAAATGTAAATAATGCAATTATTTGTTCATAATTTGATATTGAAATACATTTTTTAATTCAATTTGTTTAAAAAGAGTTATTTTACTTTGGAAGGGGTTATTTAAATTTATCGCACATTTGTAAAATTTTTATATTTATATATCTTTTCAACTTTTAATTTAAATTAGTCAAGACAATTAAGTCTTTTTATTTTGATATTTTTGTTTCATTTAAAATGAACTAGATAATAATTTCGCGTAAAACGTAAATGTAATTATTGCAATTATTTGTTTATAATTTATGAAATAAAATATATATTTTTCTTTAAAATAAAATATCGATGTAGAAATGCAAACGTAGAGTGTCCCACGTTGAAGCCCAAGATGTCGCCAGTTAGACCATTTGACTTTGACATCTGAGGAAGACATCGCTAGGTAGCGCCATCGATCCATTGAACGCATGAATTCTGCGCCATTGACTATACCCCGTAACAATAAATTGTTGTAATTACAATAATTCTTACCTTTAAAATGATGCTTTGTGTTTAAGTCCCGCCGCCGCAACCAGTAATTTTAATTCATTATGCGGTAACCGCGAAGTGTTACTCTCTTACCACGGTGACCTAAATCTCAACATGATTATCGAGAAGAAAGAATCTTTCTTCTTAATCCGCCACATATTTTTTATAACTTATTTTTTCTGTACATCTTTAATGATGATTAAAATGTGTATTAACATTCATAGATTTTTCTTTGTGTTATATAAATCAACTTCTATATGTAGATCAATGAACTAAAAGAAGTTTCGAATGTAAGGGATATAAGTATATCTTATAGCTTCGCTTTTTTAGTTAAATATAACTGAATATATATAGCTCTGTTATTTACTTTTTAAGATAAATATAGCTCTTAGTCAGTAGTTTTGTGATTTGATACAAGTACAGGTTCGATTATCTACAGGTAGTAGTTACTTAGTTGTAAAAAGATGCAGTTTATCTTTAGCGCATAGCTTCTTTCTGAAGAAAATTTTATCCACTATACAACTTGCACATATCAGAATCATTTCATTTTCCACGAAGACAACAACAATTAATAAAAGATATTGGAAAAATGAATTCCTGAACGCGATGACCTTTGCATTGATATTTCTCGCCACACGATGAAGCATTACTCAATATAGCAATAATTAGCTTATTATATATAATGGATATATAATTCTCAAAATAATCCCTCTCGGCCAGATTGCAATTAAAAGCTGTGCGCATCGATGTCTCTTAAAACTGCTACCACATATCGACGCGAACTTTCCAAATAATTATTATGCATTATTTAATTACTTATTGCGCGGCGAATGTATACCTGTTCGCGAGACCGCGAGCACGATCCCTTCGACGGAACATCCTCACGCGTTCCCGATTTTTCCCCGGCACTTTTTGCATAATAATCGTGCGCGATGCATAATTCGCACGTGCACGAAACGTCGTTTTCTCTGCCGCCGCTTTCCTCGGCCACGTGCGGTTTCCGTGCGGCGATTTTTCCGCAATCGCTTTCCCCCGCGGCGCGGCGCGGCGCGGCGTGCTGACTTGAGCGCGAGGGATGCTTTTTTTCGCGGAATCGCATCTCGAGGATATCAACGCCGTCACGTCGACACGAGTATGTACATCGTGCGCGACGCGGATCAGCCCGGGTTCGCACATAGCAATTTACGGAAACCGCACGTAACGCGCGCTCCGTGCCGACCCGAGCCAACACGAGCGAACGTTTCCATGGAGTGTTACGTAACGGATCGACGCTAGATCGACGGCCGAAGTAACTGTATTTTCGAAGAAGCGACCGCCGAAGCGAAATCGCCGAGCAAAACTTAGCCTAGGGGCAGCCGCCATGCTTGGCGGGGATGACAGGGATGTGAGTATTGGTAGCTTTCGTGGAGTTTTCTTGCAAAGGTTTTCGTGAAAATCTGCCGGTTACAACTTGGACCTCGTTGCAAATAAATGTTTTCGACAAATTGCAATCAAGCAATTTATTCCCATTAATAATTGTATTTCGTTAAATTTATACTTAATTTGTCTTGGTTATTAATACCATAATTTTAGCTTTTTTTTCAGTACCATTGAATATACTTTAGATCTAGTTTTACAACCGGTATTTACGTATATCTTCATGATTATAATATAATGTGAACGCATCGTTAATATGTGCACTATTTGATCGTACCTTTTTGCGAAATAAAAAATGCCACGTCATAATTTTCATACAAGTCATCGTCGACTTTAGCCCGATCAGCAGTCTGTACAATGTTGCGTGAGTAGGTATTTTCCCAGTCGTATTTAGTAATCTATTCAAATGAACGATTATTACATTTCGGCCTTGATGTTTTGCACCGTTCGGGAATGAAAATGACACGTTAAAAGCACAATCGTTATAGGTGGCGAGCGAATGTTGCAGCTACTCTCTCATCCCGTCACATAATCGTATTTGTAGAGACAATCTATTGTTGCAAAGTGTAAAAAATGTTAATTTTGAGCAAGGAACAGTATTATTAATTAATAGGAAGTTAATTTACGTATTATAATAAAATTTAGTTACTAAGAATTATTTATTAATTGTTCACAGTAAGCAATAAATTAACTTTTATTAATAATTAGAATATTATTTTTTTTAAATAAACGACTATAAATCAGTACTTTAATATAAACTTTCAAGTTTACGCCTTAACTTGATACTCAAAGAATTTTATTCTCTTCCTGTCTGCGTTGTTTGTAATGACGTAAATTCCAAACATGACCCCGACAATCGACTGCGTTTTTGAAAAGAACATTGCAGCACGGGCGGTCTACGTGTGCAGAAAAAATAGTGTTTGCCAGAAGCCGAGCGCTGCCGCGCTGGCGGAAAAACGGTGCGGAGCAAGGGGCGAAGCTAGCAGGAAGGTCTTCGAGGCGGAAGTTGCATGGCCAGCGCGAACAATGCGTGTCCCGCGAGCGGTCGTTTAATAACCCTGATTTGCCGTTTATACGGGAGGTCATGGAGGAGGTGGAGGTGGGCCGCGAGAGACACGGAGGAGAGGAGAGAGGTGGCGGAGGGTGCTGATGATGGGACGAGAGGGTGAGCATCGGGATCGCGCGCAACAACCGTACATAATCACGTAATGCGGTTATCATGCCAATTGCGTAAATATTTGAGCCAATTTGTGGCATGCAACGGATTCGCTCTCCTCGACCCGTGGCTTCACGAGAAAGAGAAAGAAAGGAGAAAAGAGAGAGAGAGAGAGAGAGAGAGAGAGAGAGAGAGAGAGAGACCACCGTCCGATCAGGGCGACCTATTACAGCCAACTTGTTGGCATTTGCCGACCCGCGGATTTCCGTCTCTCTTTCTCTTTATCTCTGTATTTTCCCTTATTCTCTATTTCCTTCCCGTTTCTTCCATCTCACCTGTTCCTCCGGATGC